GAAGGGGTGTGCACCATACATATAGCACATACAGTAATTGCTCAGCTGAAAACCTCCATAAGGGGCCCATCCAGGGGCGGACTGACCATTTGGAAACTCGGGCACCGCTCGAGGGCCCGGGGTCAGTAGGAGGCCCCATGAGATGCCCCTGGTACCTTTTTCATAGGCTTTTTTGTGTTTGGGCAAGGACACAGGGGCCGCATGATCCCCTATTGCCTGGGGCCCCATGAGTTGTCAGTCCACCCCTGGGCCCATCAAAACATCTTATGATAACAAATATGTTATTGCACCTGTACAATTATGTGCAACCACATAAATGAACCAAGATGCATTGCACTCAGAGCACCTTGACATATGTCATAAACAACTCCACTTCTTCAGGAGAAACAGCCAGGAGGTATGCAATGAGCATCATACCATTATATACAATGCATATTGTAAAAATAGTACTCTGACTATATTGCAAATCTCTTACAATTATATTATCTCATCTAGATAACATCAATAAAAACTGTTAAGCCTTTAAACTGTTAACAGGTGCATGAAATGGTGGGGGGACCTCAGGCACTATACAGGTAGAACCATCTAAAATAGGTAAAACATCATATAAGTCACCTGGACATATGGATGCCTATGATCAAAGACCATGTCCATCAGTACACATTGTTTACACTGTAAATGGTGAGAGGATAAATTCCTAGATCATACAGAGTTTAGATCCATGTTTTATCACAAATTTAATTTGTATAATGTGATATACCTTGGAAACTCACAACAGGTCCTGCCTATAAGTATTATATATTTTAATATATAAGTAGCTGAATCTGATGTCACATCATCTTTAGAGAAATAATACATGTTCCTTAACTAAGTAGTATTATGCAGAGTATGTTTCCCAATGCTAGCACAATCCTGTATGAAGAACCCAGGATGAGAAGGGTTGTTTCTTGCAAAATTCCTATCCGAGCACCCCTGGAAGTATAGCAAGGGTCTTTGGGAATGTGGCACATTGCACAGATGAGGACACAAATAATGAGATCCTATGACTAAAAGATCAACACGCCAGACCTCACAGCAATCCAATCCCCTCTATTGGATGAAGGCCTCATCACATCCACAATCACATAAGGTCCAAAAAAAACAACATCAAAATCCATCGCACACATATGGTCTCCCACATCTCAACATTGCAGAGTGAAGCATAGCACAAAGACAAGACCCAGTAATCACATATATCTCTAACAGTATATTTAAAAAGCTATAAAAAGTACAGTGTAAAGGGTCTGTTGGCACCATAGGTTCGAAATAGATATACAGCAATACTGAATTTATAATGCCACTGCTAAAAAATAACATCTAATACAATATATACAATAGTAGCCAGAATCATTTTGTCCGTATTTACAAAACAAGATTTGAAACTGGTGTATTCATTCAGATAGGATATACGTATAGTTGCCCAACTTGAGTGTATCTAACTCATCTCCAACTGCTGTAAATTACAATCCCAATCTCCCCTCTTGGCCCTATATCAGGGATGTCAAACTGGCGGTCCTCCAGCTGTTGCAAAACTATAAGTCCCATCATGCCTCTGACTTTGGGAGTCATGCTTGTAACTTTCAATCTTGCAATGCCTTATGGAACTTGTAGTTTGACAACAGCTGGAGGGCCACCAGTTTGACACCCGTGCCCTATATGGATCTGATCTAAAACTATGAATTTTTACACCCATGTCATCTTATTGGTGAACACATTATTTACTAACATTTTTTTTTACTGTAGGCAAAACAGGGGTTTAGACTAGTGTAATACAGCAATGTCTGGAGGAAAAGGAAGGTTATACATCACATATTCCATATGGCATTTAGGCAGAAGCAGAAAGAGAAGAAAAGTGTAAGAAAGAAGTAAAGGTCTTCCAACAAAATGGGCTCTGATAATAACACATGTACTCTGTATTTCTCAGGATAGATAAATAAATAAGGGGGGGGGGGGGGGGGGGGGGGGAGTCATGTCTTTCTAAAGACCAAATAAATTTGCATCTGAGCCAGTAGAGAGACAATGTGTGAACTGCAGATATCAAATAGATATGTGCTTCCCCATCATATCTGTAACTCTGGCTTCTATTTTCTCATGCAAAATACAGTAGTTTGTTTGACTCTCAGCTTAACTTCAGTGAGCGAAAGGATGGAAAATTTCCAAGCTTTAGCAAGGTAAGTTTTGTTACAGTAAGGAAGAAACTTAGAAGCCAAAATTGGACTTTGAATAAGTATGGGGTTTAGTGCATAAAAGGGGAATTTGGCGGGTTTGGGGAATTATTTGGTCCTATTAATCTAGAAAAGATGATGAATAAACACATTCACTCAGGAAGCTTAAGCCACTGGACAGGTCCATCAGATGTAGTAAAAGGTCCTAATCTACCTGCAGAAGGAGGAATAATCTAGCACAAACTGGGCAACTTTGACTGAAACCATATAGCACCTTGTTAAAACTGTATAATTTGTCTCTGCAGACAAAAAGATTAATTTACTACCTTAGATTGTACGCTCCTTGAGGGTTAGGGACTGATGTGAATGTACAATATATATGGAAAGCGCTGTGTAAATTGATGGCGCTATATAAGTACCTGAAATAAAATTTATTAAAATGGGAGAGTGCAAAATCTGGTGCAGCTCTGCATAGAAACCAATCAGCTTCTAGGTTTTTTTTGTCAAAGTTTAATTGAACAAGCTGAAGTTAGAAGCTGATTAGATACCATGCACCACTGCACCAGGTTTTGCATTTTGTTGGTTTAATAAATCAACCCCTATGTGTCAGCAGCTAGACTTGACCATTTCCCAGATTTGACTCCATTGCTTTTCCTCAAAAGTAGTGGCCTCAAATGGCATGCCAGTGTTAAGTTTCTTTTTGTGAACAATTTGTTTACAAATTACTTTGAAAGCCAATTGAGTTGGAAGGGATAGGGCTGGCAAAAGAAGTGTCACTTCTGTTTGCATGGAAGATCTGCTTCAAAAGGAGGGAAGCTGTAATGGTTTGTGTCAATTATATTTGTTTTTATTGTACATAACATCTTTGTTTTACAAATAAACCTTTACTATATAACAAAGGATTCTTAGATCACTGTGGATATTGTAAATAGAGAGCAAAGGAGAAGTTGTTTCATTTTATTCAGGACTTCTCTGAGAGGAGGGGCTGTTCACAGCAGATGGATTCATTGGTAGGGTTTGCATAGACTTGAAAGTCTATGTAAACCCTTACTTCATGACATTCCATTTTCTAAAGCACTGCATGTATGCACTCCAGTGACAGCTGTATGGCATTTCCTATGGTGGGTTTCCTCACGGTGCCAACAGTGAACAATAGCTGCATAATGTGTCCCTGTCTATATGCAGTTTCCATCAGAAGCTCCTGTGATAGGGTGACAACACAGAAGAACAATTGGGAGACAAGGGCAAAGCTTTGTCACCCTATAAGAGGAATATCTCCTGGCAAGGTACACCCCCCTCCCATGTTGAGGGCATGTGGTCTGGTAATATTCAGGAGGAGCTAGGCTTAAGTTTCTAAGATGCCATCAATCAGGAAGCTGTCTAATATTGCAAAGTTGGAGCCGACAATTTTTGCTTGGTCAGTCTACTCAAACTGCTTGTTCGTGTCTTATGCAATGCATTTGGTGTTATCAACTCGCTACTCCTTTTACCCTGCCTAAAGAAAATCGGAAAAACACTGCATGGTCTGTATAACTTCAGGATCTCATTTTTTTGTTTAGCTGAATAAATAAATAGAAATTATTCATTTAGGCAAAGGAAGACCATATTTATGTAATGTTCCTTTTCTTTTGTGACACTTTAACAGAAGGTAATAAAAGATTAAGATTTTACAGTCATCTCTCACTTGTATTTTTTCAACAAGACCCATTTTGTCAGCAAAATCTTAAATATTTGCAATGATTACATATGGTTTTCCTACTGATATTCATTTCCAGTCCCAATACAGAAAGTTATTTTATATAGACAACTTTAAATCCAAGGTCTGGCTGGACTGGCTTTAGATCCATAAAGCAATCAAGTCCATAAAAAAAAGAACTTTTTAGTGTCTCTGGAATACCAGTTAGTGTTATTATATTATTCCTGCAAGTCTGTTCTGAAGATTTGTCAATATATTCCAGTAAATATTTGTTGGATAAGAGCATTAATTCAGACTTTCTTTAACATATTCTTCTCAATTATGAAGGAACCTTTTACTCCAGATTCTCTGCTCTGTGATTAAAATCAATTACCATATTTTTTTTCAGTAGGCCATCTTGCATTTATTTTAAGCTCTGTTGACCAGGACAACATCGACCAGGATGTTGGGGACTTCTTTTCTTAAAAAATTGAATCTCTAAGAACAGCTAAATATGTTGGTACAACTCACATAATACTGTACTAGCAGTAGAAAGGCACATTCAGCTGCACTTGCTCTGTGCTCTTGAAGATGTTTCACTTTGTTCCTCAATTCATCTGAGTGTTAGGGACACACCCACGCATTTATAGATTGGAATGAAACATTTTCAACATTACAGAACACATCCTACTAAGAATCCATGCACACAGGCTTAAAAAAAGCTGCTTCAAGAGGAGTTTAGCACTTTGCCTCTAGAAGAAGCTAATATTATTCTATGTGTCCATGCACATTAGTACATTTAGAAGCTTATTTTAAACTCAGTGCTTAAAGGCTGAAGGAAAAAATCTAATGTCTTGTGTTTTTTAGCTTTTTTTTGCAAAAAAAGTCCTGTACGAAAATGCTCTATATGAGTTTTTTTTTTCCACCAAAAGAACAGGCATTTTTAAGCCCAGTGTGCATGGACCCTTAATGTCAATAATTGGTAACACCATGACCTGAATAGATGAAAATATTCAGAAATATTGTATCTGCAAAGCATTTTTGTTGTTTGGTTTCAGCTAAGATTGGAATTTCACATTTTTGACTGCATAACCACCTTAAAGGATACATTCGCCTCTGTAAAAAAATAAATTAGCATAATTTTGCAAATAAAAATATGTGCATTTATAATTGTTTTTTAAATTAGGAGCCTGCAGAGCATTGCACCCATGATCACTCTCCTGCACACTGCCAATGTGTGTCTGCCTGTACCTGGTATGAGCAGGCAGTTACTGAATGACAGGAAGCATCAATGAACTACCTTCACTGAGCACTACAAGCTGGCAGCCACAATGGCTGGCAGTATTTGTTTTTCTCTCATTCACAGAACTCTGTGAATGAATCAAGCTGCCAAGTGGGTGGAGCCCCACATTGCCACTTTTTTTAGAATTGTGACAGTGGATGTGGATGGGCAGGCTGCTACAATGGGACACCCTCAATATGGGTGTAATATGTTACAAAAGGTGAACTCATCCTTTAAGTCTACATTCACACCAGCACACACGGCCACATTTTTTTAGAATTGTGACATCGGGTGCAGATTGGGGGGTGCAAGGCTGCTGCAATGGTAACATATTACATGGACACCCTCAATATGGGTGTAACATGTTACAAAAGGTGAACATATCCTTTAAGTCTACATTTAAACCAGCACATATGGCCACATGGCCACATTTTTTTAGAATTGTGACAGTGGGTGCAGATTGTGGGGTGCAGGGCTGCTGCAACGGTAACATGTTTATATGGGACACCCTCAATATGGGTGTAACATGTTACAAAAGGTGAACTCATCCTTTAAGTCTACATTTACACCAGCAATTTAATCCAGTGGGAACTGCAGCGGCAGAAACATTCCAATGCACACAAAGTGCATCCAGCAGCTATCCCACAAGTAATCTCTGGGTGTGCAGACAGTCACCAATAGCTGCAGCCACTGGCCACAGCTAGCCGCTCACAGCATCAGGAATCAAAAGATTCCTGCAGCTTCAATTCGCACCAGCTTAAATCATTGATGGGAATGTAGTTTTTATTGTTTGCATTCAGATTAATACAAACAAAAATCTTTTTTTTACGCTAAGACAAAATGTATCCCTGTCTTGCCAAGCATGGAAATGCCATAGGTCAAACAGAAAGTCTGGTATAAGCTGTGGAAAGAGTAGAACAGTCAGATTACATCAAAAAGAAGCTTCAACTAGTCTTGCTGCTGATGTGGCAGGTACTACAGTAAGAGCAAGCAGACTACAAGGTAAACCTCTGTCCCCCCATCCCCTGGGTAAGTTAACTTGGGAAATAGGGTAAAAGTAAGTTCAGGAAAAATCCAGGTGGAATTAGATCAGTTTTTCACAAGATAAGAGTTTTCACGGTCAGCATAAGATCAAACAAGATTTACCGAATGTTGATTTTAATATGTACAGTGCACACATGCTTATATGATTCCTTCTTTCTTACACAAGGCAAAATCCTAACAGAAAAAAAACTGCTTTCACTTCTAAATTAAGTAATTAATGTTTTATAAAAATTGCCAAAAGGCACACACGAGGCAGTACATGTATGCCCTATATAACAACAGGTTAAAGCTTATTTAAAATGTAGCTAACGCTATCAATATTTTTAGATTGTTAAGCTACTAAAAAAAAAAAACTAAAAGCAATGAATTGATTTTATTTTCCTTACAGTATATGTAGGAATAGAAGTTTTAAAGTGATATAAAACCCTACTTTTTAAGAATTTCAGCAGTTGATCAAAATATTCAATTGATATGCAGCTGCTTCATCCTTTAACCCTTGCCTTTGTTCCTGTTTATGCTGGTGCCATGATCACTACCCCAGGTTTCCTCTTTCAGGATGGCTCCTTTGCTTTGCAGTTTGTTATGGAGCCACCTTTGTTTGTGCACACCTGGCCAGGACTGCATGTCTCCCTATGCTGTGTGAGTCAATAGAAACTCACAGCATCATAGTCTTAGAATGCAAGGCACTCTCCTGCTCCTCCCTCCTACTTTCTCCTCCCAGATAACAGATAGTGATCGGCTGCATGTTCAAGTCGAATGTAAGTTCGACTTGAACATGACATGGGCCGTTTGCGTGTGTGTTGCTTTTCGCCCACAATGCACTGCGCCCTGACAGTGCATTGTGATTGGCTAAAGCCAAAACCACAGGTCAGGTGCAATACTATGGCCAATCACAGGGCATGATGATAACACATAGGGCAGAGTGAGCCCACCCCCTTGTGACATCATCACCCTATTTAAGAACAAATCTTGGTGCAGCTGTCAGATAGTGGGAGCCAGCGTCAAGAGTGGAGCAAATATTTTTTTTCTTTTTTCCGGTCGGCGGTGGTGGCAGGCATTGTGATCATCTACTTCGGGGGACATTTTTATTAAAGGACTTATCAAAGACTGTCTCCTGTCTTTTTTTTTACTACCCTTTATTTTGTGAATGGGTAGCAGTACCGTGTACTGCATACTCATTCACATATGGGGGGCTGGGATCTGGGGGTCCAGATTTCAATAAGCCCCTCACCTGCAGACCCCTACAACCACCAGCCAGGGTTTTGGGAAAGAGGCCCTTGTCCCCATGAACATGGGGACAAGGTGCTTGGGGGGAGCTCCGCTGCCCCAAAGCACCCCCCCATGTTGAGGGCATGTGGCCTGGTATGGTTCAGGAAGGGGGGTGCTCGCTTATCCCCCCCTTTCCTGACCTGCTGCACTGCATGCTCGAATAGGGGTCTGGTATGGATTTTCTGGGGGACCCCCCATGCTGTTTTGTTTTTAATTTTGGAGTGGGGGGCTCCCCTCAAAATCCATAACAGACCCAAAGGGCCTGGTATGGATGGAAGGGGGAACCTCACACAGTTTTTAAAAAATTTTTTTTAATTGTCGGGCAATGCCGGCAATTCTTTTGACATTCAGCTGTCAGTGAGAACCCCACTGACTGCTGAAACATGAATGAACGTTTCACTACTAAAATACCGCAGGACTTAACAATATAACTCATGCGGTATTTTAGTAACTGAGCGGTATCTTACCGCATATTCGGATGCAGTAAGATACCGCTCAGTAAATTGTCCCTGTTTGAAGTTTGCAGTCAAACTTTTGGTAGGTTCAAATGTTCAACCACGAATCAAACAGGGGGGGTGTTCAGCCCATCACTAATAGACTGACAGCTGCTCATGACCATACTGTTAATTCTTTCCTGTGAAGTACTGTGATAAGCAAAAGTTTGAGGAAGCAGAAATGAGACAGCAGGAGCAAACTTCATTGAACGTTCTAAAGGGCAAGTGCCTGCGAAAAATGTATAACATTACATTTTATTGGGAAATGTTTTTACTGTTGAGCTGTTTGTGTTAAAGAAAACCTCTGAGAGTTTAATACTACTTTAAAAAGTTCTGTGTGCAATAATTCTATATATCTAAAAGACAGCTTAAACCTTCTAAGTCTTACAGCATTCTGTAAGTAGATTTGAAATATGTATGGAAAGTAATAAAAAGGTGTATATTTCACTATTAAGTATTATTTTGTTGGCTATATATCTCTGGTCCTTGAGGACCATGCTCCACAGTTTAAGACGTTGTATAATTAACAAACTTCATGAAAACATTAGGTGTATTAGATTAAGCGAATTGTGTTTGTGTCTAACCCCACATTCTGAATTGCATTCATTCAGTCCTTGAATGCTTGAGTTGTTTTGTCTGGCTCCATTGCCTTAGGCCAGCAAAGAAGTCTTTTGAATAAACATGTATTTAAGTAAAATACAAAATTACATTTACAGTGAAAAGTGTGATACAATTCTAAAGAAAAAACTAAAAATGTAGCAGTAATCAAACTTCAGATTTGCTGTTGTCAATTTTTCTATACCAGTTTTAAAGGTCTATTTATTTGACCTTATTCACACTAGCCACATGCTAAAATTGTTTATGTTTGCATATGGGTTGATGTCCTTTTTGCCAGGCAGTCATCATGGCACATAGGAAACAATTGGTTTCCAGTTGCCTTAGCATTGACCTGCATTGTTCAATGCAGAAAAAACACCAATCATGATTCATGTTACTTTCACCCAGTATTCACACATATTTCTTATTTAATTTGATATGAAAAGTGTATGCATCTTGGGTAAAAATATTGATAAACAGTACCTGTGAATTAATTACTACCACTTTTATTATTACAGGTACTTAAATAGTGCCATGAATTTACTCTGCGCTTTGCATATGTACTGTACATTCGCATCAGTCCCTAACCCTCAAGGAGCATACAATCTAAGGTCCCTAACTCACATTCATACATACACATACTAGGGCCAATTTAGACAGGAGTCATTTAACCTCCAAGCATGTCTTTGGAGTGTTGGAGGAAACTGGAGTCCCCAGGGGAAACGCACACAGGCACAGGGAGAACATGGAAACTCCAAGTAGGTAGTGCCATGGTTGGTATTTGAACCAACAACTCTAGTGATGCTAGGCAGGACTGCTAACCATTTAGCCACTGTGCTGCGTTTAGAGGTAAATAAATCAATATACCCATCCATAGAATCTAGGTATGTTCAGGAGATAGGATTTTGTAATTAAGCCTCAGCATAGATTCCTTACTTGCTAGGAAATTTGGAACCAGTGGATTTTTATCTTCCATCTACAATAATAAATTATATTTTTGCAATGACAGACATGTGATTTTGGGTTTCTCTCTCGCAAACAGAATGTATGGAACATGTAATGTAATGTTGGCTAAATGATTAAGTTAGACATAAACAGAGCAGAACATGGCCACACAATGGTTAAAGCAACATTGATACTAAAATTAAAATGTAGTTAAACAGATTCTTCTGTAAAGAACCGATTTTATAATTACATTTCCTGCTGGTTGCATTGTTGATTTTTGTTGTCTTCAAAAACTATGGTGTATGGAATCCATTTCATCTGGCACATTTCCAGGACTGTCAAATTCTTGGTTCCCCTTTTTGCTCTGTGAATCCTTTCACTGGCCCCTTAACTGGCTGCAGTTTTAAGGCAGACACCAGAAGGAACCCAGGTGATAGAAAGAGAACCAGGAATCTTATACCCCTTGAAGAGTGTCTGATGAAGAGGATTCTTTGGGCACTGGAGATCTTGAAGAGACTGAAGATCCTAAGCATGGGAAGTGAGATAAACATAATACATCTTCCTTACAGAGAAATAATTTCCTACAGTTAAATTATGCTCCAATGTTGCTTTTA